CAACTGTTTAGTGACCGGCAGCAAGACCGTTACGTAATAATAAGTGATTTTTCAGGGGTTAATGCAGCATGTTGATATGTGTTTCCAGATTTTTGGATTATCCTTTTGTTTTTAATTATCTGCCATACTTCTCCCCTCCATAATTGTGTATAATTGAGAGTTCACTGTCTGTCAGTAAACTACAGAACTGACTGTGGCCTAGCTTTAGATATGCAGCAGGAGAGCTGTATATTCAATATGCAGCACAGTACTTTGTCAGAGTTTCATTGGCATTTGATCTTTGTTGTTTCAGATTTATTATATGATTTAATAAGGTGAGATAGTTGAGGTTATGCAGTAGTTTAACCAGTTATTGTACCTGACTGAAATGATAGGATGTTTGACTATATAACTTAATCTTCAGTTTTAAAAATCAATGTAAATAAGCATCAACTGTTAGCTGCTCTGTCAAGTCATCACCATTTTTGTCTTGAAATTGTGACCTCATCCTGAGTGGAGGACTGGACTAAACAGTAATGATACCCGCTCTGCAGAAGTCTTAATTTGGGAGGTGGTTAGTTGTTTTTAAACCATATTGTTTCTTTCAGTTGAATTATGACACTCACTACGTATCATACAATGTTCTAAATTCTACACTTTCATTCTTTTCACATTTGACACATATGCTTGATAATTTTCAAAAGCAGCAGTTACTTAGTACATGTATCATTTGTTTTTATATTTTTAGAACAGTATTTGCATGATGTATTTAAATTCAGTATGGAGAATATGTGTTTAACGTCGTGCTAGTTAAATCTATCCAATTTTATTCCTGAAACGTTTGGCTGTTTGTCTTTGAGAAATAGCATTTCGGCTCTCGGCAGTAACTACCAACTTATTTCAAATACGTACGTGATGAACATTAAACGTTCAGAATATCTGTAGCAGTAGCAAGAGTTATCATAATTGGTGAAGTATCTTTTTATGTAATGGAAAAGCTAGAAGGTGCAGTGGTGATTTTGCAGGCTACTTTAATGCATACTGAGAGGAACTTTTTGCATTCTCTGTACAATGCAGAGTTCCATTTCAAAATAAATTTGTTTTCATAGTAAACAGGTTTTCCATTGTCTTGCTAATGGTGAACATGGAACACATTGTAGTGAAAAGTTTTTTGTGCGCGCCTGTAGAGTAAGTGAAATTGTGCAGGGAGGGATGTCTTAAATGTGAAACACGAAATTTTGTTGTGATGTTTATGAAGTACAGTGTGGTCACATCTTATGCAAATTTGAAATAGTATGATATGAAAAATATTAATGAAGTCTTGGTTTATGCACAAAGTTTCAAATAAATCAAATCCCAAAAAATTCGGCTAGAACTGTGTATGTGTTTCGAAACTTGTATTAAATTTTGTGAGGTCTTCAGAAATGCATCCTCACATAAAATGCAACTGTACTGTAATTACATCCTGTTGGAATTTTGATGGTTATGGCATCCAGAATGTACTGCAGTGAAGATTTTGCACATAATTTTAGTATGATAATTTACATTCAGCATCCAAATTGAGTGAACTGTGCACAGAAATGAACAGTCCTCCATACTGAATTTCTACCTGTAGTTAATAATACACAGCACAGCGGGCCAAGAAATCATAACGGACAATATTAAGAATCTCCCTAATCAAGTTACATAGGAGGCACAACATCGGCCACCTTGAAGAGAGATGACAGGGGTTATTGACATGAACCGTATGGTTTATGTATTTTAATTTTTAACAAAGTTTTTTAAAACTTTAAAACAACTTTAAATATTTCTGTAACCAGAAAGGCTGCTGTGAGTGATAGATGGAACATTGTGTACTTGGCAACATGTGTATTTGATATGACAACTGTTGTGATTGTGGTTTCTAAAAAGTGTTTGGTGCCTCTGAAGATGATCTAAATGGATCGAAACATGTAAGGCTAGTGAATCATCAAGTGAGAAAACTGAAATAGTCACATTGGACGGACTTGTCTTTTGTAATTGTAACTGTTAGTGTGACGGACCAAAATGAAACAAATCAAATTAATTTATTTTTATCTCCTAATGTATCTTGTATGTTCTAAACCTCTGGTAATTCATGATATCATCTATCATAATGAAAGAAAAACATTTCTATCTATCTGCTAATAGTGTTTCCAGAAGTTTTCCAAAAGGGAAGAATTGTAACAGCAAAATTTTATTCATATTCAGAACATCAAAATGATTAAAAACCTCATCAATTTTTGGTAGTTAATTTCTGCCAAATATAGCTTTTCCAGAAGTTAAATGAACATTAATTTCAAGTCATCAGTTTCTAGGACCGTTGTTATAGGGGTTCCTTTATAGTTCTTAGAGTGATAACCAGTTTTTTACCTGCCGAAGTATGAATTATGCATCATATACTTTGGTCATATATGACTATAATAAAGATTAACAACAATTTGTAGTATACAGATGAGTACTGACAAGGAATACTATACAGACAGTGAATTTATGGTTTTGTATGATGTGAGATGAAGTATTTAATGCTGATTAATTGTTTAATTAATTCATTGTGTGTGTTCTGTGTGAAGTACTGTATTTCGATTTTCACTAGGTATTCCACTTCATAGTGGTGAAAATGCCTAGTGAGTGACAAAATACTAGTGAAGTACTTACACGTATATGTACATATCTTCTATAAGTTCCAGTTACTCATAATGTTTATTAGGAGACAGTTTTCATATATATGATGCAGATTCTTTAGGGAAACTGTAGTATATAAATGTTGGACAATTATATTTGGTAAAATTAAAATCGTTTTTTGTCCCTTTGTATTAGAGGAAGACAAGTTATATGATTAAGCACAGTATACAGTTCTGATACAGAAAATATCATGAAATAGCCCATAAAAGAAAACATGGTTATTTGAAGACAGTGACCGTATGTTTTGAAATTATCTTTGTTATGCAGTCAGATGATAACATACTAGAGGTAAAATTATGTATCAGATACCAACGGAGAAAGGTGATTAAGTTTATTTTGGAATATGTGATTCTTACATTTTAATAAGCAAAACAATTTTGTGTATTCGAGGTACTCATATGTGCAAGGATATCTTGAAACCTAAACGAAGCAATACTATGGTGAATAAATAAAGCTAGAGAATTATGGTTGTCATGTGTTTTGGAGAAAATTTTCAGATAATTGTTTTCTTGGCCAGTCTTGAATACATGAAATAATGAATATGTAATGGGCATATTATATCTGTTCATCACATGTACTGTGTCTAGAGCCATCTGAATTTTTTTTTTAAATATATTGCCAGTGAATGAATTTTAGGTACATGTAGCATTTTGACCTCACTTAAAGGCCTGGGTGAACTTTTGTATATATTTTATTAAATTTATGCTCTATTGAAAAGCATTCAAGTATTTCAAAAAATATTGTAGGGCTAATGAGATATATATTTATGTCATCTACTGGTTTTATGTGATGAGCCATTTTATAAAAAACTGAAGCATAAAACATCATGTGAATAATAAATCTGGAATAACATCTGCCTAAGTAATAATAAAATATTGATCATTATCATGAAAAGTTCCATCCAGTGTGACTAGTGAAGATTTTTCTTATTTCAGTTATTTATGCCCTTACATGTTTCGGTCTTCAGAGACCATCATCCGAAGGACACCTTTACATCAGTACAGTTGGAGGCTACTATTACAAAATATGTTCTGAAAGTTAAAATGTATACATAAAGTAAAAAAAAAAAGTAAAGCTATTCCCTGTAACAGGCCATGAAGGCCCATACGGTTGTGAGACGTTAAAGGTCCCACATTATCTAGACAATAAGCTCAGAGATGGCAGTAAGGTTGTCAGCCTTACGCACCAGCCACACTTCACTCCCCAGGAAAATCATTTAATTAATTCCTGGTACTCATTTCTGTTAGAGGCTGAGTAAACCCCAGGGCCTAGTGCAGCCGGAAGGATTAGGTCAATTTAAAAAAAACCAATGACCTCATCAGGACTTGACCTCCTGGCTTGTAGCATAGTACCTTACCCACTACGCTAATAAAATGAAATACAATTGGGTATAAAATCAAAAGTCTTTACAACTACAGCGGCTGTTCCAATATTTTAAAATATTTATAATTGGTTTGTTAAGATTATTTGAATTTGTAAACCAAGCAGGTTCATGTCGTCCCTCTTATTATATCTCTTGATGGGTGCCAAACGTCTGCCGCCTTGTCATTCTCGAGAAGAGGGTTCTTTGATGTTGTCCTGTATGTGTTTGTGGCACGCTGTGTGATGGACCAGAATGAAACAAATCAAATTCATTGATAATTATATAAACACTATGAAACAAAACAAATAAAATGGAAATTAATAACAACTAAATATAAAAAGGAAAGAACTTAAATTAAAACCTCCAAAAGCAATAAAAAACAATAAACTCAGTTAACAGTAAGAAACATCCATCCCTCACAAAGAAGTGCATGCTGGCTTTTACCCATGTAATAAGTGCATTGAAGTTTGAATTAAGTTACTTATTGAGGCTTTGCAGTCATTTTGAAAGTTCTGAGTAGACACTCACTTGCTCCTGTAAGTAGCAAAATGAAGATTGACTAAACAAAATGATTACAATATGTTATTGGTTTGTCATGCATGATAGTATTTAACCATTGGCAGAATTTTGTGCCTTGGTATTAGAACATGCAACATCTTTATGTTACAATTGTATACTTATGTTTAGATATGTGTAAGCTCATAGTAAAGTAAAATATCAGAAATGAGCTAATTTATATTTTTAAAGAAACTGTGCCGTATATCGCAAAGTCCTTATAATATAATACATAGCATAGATAAAAGCCTCGCGTAATTCTGTAGGATGAGACATATTTATGGTTGGTTGATGAATGAGTGGTAACTTAGTATTTCTTTTTCTTCATTTTTTTAATTCATTTCCCTTCTTCCATCTCCACTTTGCATTCTTTCTTCCCATTCACCAACGATGGACACAGGCAGACGGCCAGCCCGAGCCTGTGGTGCTTCCTATCTCATTTTCAACCACAAGCAACCTTCATCAGCAAACCCTCAAGCACCAGTACCACAACTGGCAGCTCTGGTTGCCCCATCAACAGCAGCAGCACCACCCACCACCATCACCACCACCACCACTACCACCACCATGCAGGCCTCAAGTTTTCACCGTCAGAAGCATTAGGCAGGTTGCGGAGAGGTAAGGAGGGGGTCTCCTTTCCCCCTCAACTGCTGCTGCTGGCTACATTTCCCTTCATTCTCTATTTTACCTCTGCCGTGTGCTCTATCACTTCACTCACCAAACTCACCTGCCTGACTTTTGTTAGTAATCTTGTCTTGTGGCTGTTGTCCATTTTATTTTCAGACGTAGTGTTTTGTACAGAAGTTGATTTCTGGTTAATTAGTGTGGCCATTGCCATTAACAAGGACTTAACATTTTACTTTAAGAAAATTATATTCCAGACATCACATTAACCAAGTGACAAACTTTGTACGTCAGATTGTGTTAATATTCAACTAATAAGCAGTTAGAATTTTAATTTATTCTTATCCATATGAACAGGAGGTATTAGTTGATTATTATGTAATGAATGCAGATGCACTAATTGACTCCTTTTATGTTCTCACCACATTGTCTGTATTTGTATAAGCTTGTGAAACCCCTCTTATGTTGCCAGGAAATGTAGTGCCAAGTGCTTTTTTGAGCAGATTTGATGAAAGAGTCACTTTTCATGTCCACTTTTAAGACCTAGACATTGCTGGAAATGTAACATGAAAATGGGTCTTAAAGAAATAGTATGTGAGGTTGTGGGCTGGATTCATATATGGAACTGCTATGGGTTCTTGTGAAGATGAAAATGAACCTTGAGATTTCATTTAACAGGTGTGAAATTTCTTGACTAACTGAGCAGCTGTTAGGTCCTCAAGGACTGTGCACCATGGAGTTATTTGGTTAGGAAGATCGGGTTTTTATTTCAGAACTAAAGGTATTTCCGTTTCAAAAACTTGACTATTCAGATAACATGCCAGCATTACTCTTAATAAAATATGTATAACTGGAAGATCAATTTTTTATGACTTCAGGGGATCAGCAGACTATATTACAGACTCATTTGTATAATATTGTAATGTGAAAAGAAGGTCACACACACAGTAATCATGTATGAAACAGCACCGAGGAAAGCCAGGATAGACCTCAGTGAGAGAGGACAGCTGCTGCTCCAGCTGAGACTCAAATCCAATGCTTCCCTTGTGCAAGTGAGACACATTAATGCTGTCCCAACTTGTTCAGTTTATATTCACAAATTCTCTTGATATGAATCACATTGAAATTTCAGTGGGGATTTCTTCAAAACATGCTTTCTTCATGAGATGCATCCTGTTGTGTGACATGTAATGGCATTTTATGGGATCATCTACACAACAATTTTTTCGACGCCTTTGCCAAATAAACAGATGCTGGCATGTTAGTATTGATTTGTTCATTGATACAGTTTTTGTGTAGACAGTCCCATGAAATGCTATTAAAACATGCTTTGTCAGAAACATCCAACCTCAGTTACTTGAATAGTTGTGGTAAGGCAGCTGCTATATAAGTGAAATGTTTTTGGCAAAATTTGCTTATATAAATGGACTTCAGTAGAATACCCAAACATTTTCTTTGCCACTGGTAACAGAATGTTACAGTGGTCATTACATAGGTCGCCAGAAAGCAGCAGAGATACATTTCTTTCAGGTACAACATGACCAATTATAACAATCAGAAATGGAATAATTTGACCTTCAGATATGAAATAGATACTGATGGACAATGATGATGATCCTAATAAAGATATAGGTATTATCTTGCAGTTACCGCCATATATTTCATTTTCATCCATGCACACTCCGCAATTTACCATTATATCAATACACAGCTACACATTGTATGACACATAGGTTAAAACTTCAAAATAAATAATTCACATTTCTAGCTAGAGTTTCAACAAATAGCCCCTCAGTTTATCCACTCTTGTATACATTAAATCATGATTTGATATATTTAATATTTATGTGTGCTGTCAACATGGGAATTTGATTTCACTGAAGGTCTGGACTGCAATGCTCACTGAAGCATAGGTACCTCTTTCATTTTCACATTGCGGTCATTTTTATGACTACTACTAACAGTAGTTGCTTTTGCAATGTTGGGGTCAGATTCAGGGCGCTGAGGCAAGCCTTAGGCTTCCATATAAAGGATTATCTAGCCAGATTCTTCTCGCTCTGCGGAACTTCATCCAGAATATATGAAGGCCAAGGGTTAGCTTTTGCAGGTTTTTAAAGTATGTACTTCACTATAAATGTACAAGAAAATACTTCCTCATTAAAACATTTGAAAGATTATAGATCCCACAATGAGGAAGTGCTTAATGATGGGCGATGGAAGATGAAATCTGAAGGTTTCTGAAGTGAAAATACGTATTATGATCTTTTGGGTTAAGACACTGTGTAATCTGACTGGTGAGTACGAATGTTTTAGATGAACATAATACCTCCTTCTTCAGGATGAAAACAGTAGACATCCACACTTACCATCCTTGCAGTTTCATCTATGTAAATGGATACAAAATCTGGTAGCACCTGTTTTCATCCAGCCCTTCATGTTAACCATTATTCCCATTGGACAGCATAATGCCTTCACCCCTTTCTTACTCCGACTGGAAGACTTCCTCGTTGCACCTCACATTGACCTTGAAGATGGTGACTATCCATTAGGACAGTGCTGTGTGCTTAAGAAGAAAGTTTGGAGGAAAAAATTGTTAAGCCAAACTTTAATCAGATTGTATCTGTCCTCACAGCTGAAGTTGTGAGAATGTTTGATTATTGTAGTGGCTGCCCCTTTTCCCCCCAAACTTCAATCTTAACCTCAGGGTCTTTACCTATAAGATAGCACCATTCTCTAACTCTCCCCCCCCCACACACACACACACTCAATAACATTGTGAGCATGATGGCCTCTTCACATTGGATAACACTGTGCTCCATACCCCCACCCTTATTCACACTGTGAGACCTATATGTCAGCCTTCATCATCATCCTGCTTCATTCACCATGAAGATGGCAGCTGCAGTGTAGGCTGAAATGGAAAATCTTCAGAACATAATGACTCTAAAACAAGAGGTATTATAATGTTGAGTGGATACTGAATGAATATATTGTGACTTGGCTAATTCATTCACTTAAACTTGTATTTGCTGAATTGGTGTAATCCTGTAAGATGAAATTATAAAGGTGACACAGAAAGAAGATTAAGAATTTATTCAGACTGGGTAGCCGGTGCCTTGGAATTTCAAAATGAAATTCAAACCTGAACGAATATCAGCAAGATAACGTAGTGTTCACAGGTTTCTCCTTGAGTATGAAACATGAGATTCATTTAAAAACAGTGTGTGATTCTTTCATCAATCTTTTGAATGTGCAGACATTTTGTACTTTTGTTCTGGCTTTAGATTTCAAAGTAACTACAGTTTGTTGATAATTCAGCTGAAAAACAGAGTGAGTGTTGCAAGAAACAGCTGCCTTCAGAATGCTATTTTCTTATGGGATCAACTAGAATCTAGTTTGTTATTATGTGCCATTCTATTTTCTGAGCTGTACATAGATACTTTTTCTAACAATGAAAATGTACGTATAACCCACAGTTCGTTGTATCCAGCCTTGAATAAGAATTATGTTGGTCCATTCATTTTGTCTGAAATTTTAACCTATTCATTTGAATTCCTTGCTTCTTCCTGTGTTTAATATATGTGTTAGTGTGTCTTAATTAGTTTTTAATACATTTTTGTAGCACTGCGATGGTAAATTTACTACTTTCTCACATTCTTCCTTTCCTGACTTGTATTGTACAAATGCCAAATAGCATTTGTGAAGATTGGTGAATAATATATGACAGCTTAGGATGAGGGTGCTCTAATGTATTTACTTTGAATTTTTTTATTCTTTTTCGAAAGGAATTTCATTACAGGAAGTGGATTACATGAGTGATAACATATGTCTCTGTAATTTGTAACCAGATGTGTGGAACGTTTTTAAATGTAATGCATTGCTTTTACTGCTTTCCAGTGTTGGCATGTATGACCACTTCTTTGAAGACCTTATTATTGATGGAGATTTTAGTTCATTCTAAATATTAAGTATACTTCATTATTTAGAATTTGTCTTAAGAGTTTATAGAGATTTAAAAGGGTACATGTTCTGTTAAAGTGTGTATTATTTGTTATGAGATGTTGTGCTAGCAGCCACAGAGTACCCTGACTGATTTTAATTTATCTTTAAATAGCTATGATGCACTTGTCACTGGCAGCTGCTTTTATTTCCACTTGTGCTTCATTTTCACTATTATCAGATATGTGTGTGTGTTGTATTAATTGAGTGTATTTTGAAATGTTTGCATTGGTTTATTTTGTACTTAGATGCCTGATAGAATATTTAAATTGCTAGTAATTAAGTTCTTGCCAGTACAGCCTGATACTCACGTAGTTGTGATATCAGCTTGCACAGTCTTTCAGCTTGGGCTCATCTTCTGTACCAGTTAAATCAAATCATGATTGAGCATTATTTCCAGAAATGTCCACATTTACGTAAAAGTACTTAAAGGCCACCCGTGTTTTATAATTTATGTTTATGTAATGGTTATGCATTAAAGATTTGCCATTAACTGAACATATAGTGTTGAAGTACTTGGATGAACATTTACTTCAAGCATGCACATACAAAAATAACATGATACAGTGTAGTGCTTTTCAGACTCCACATGGGCATATTTTCATTCCTCTGAAACAATGTTTCACATGCTCATCAGCTTCCTGTAATTTAAAAACGCTTAAGAAATGAAATGATAGGTGAGAATGCATTTAGTTGGGATAGTGATATTCATGCTATGCAATGGAATACAGAATTAGAATGAGATATATGAAATGGTAATCCTCCTTTCTTGTTAGTTGATGTCAGTAATAATTATAATTATTAAAGTATAGTGTTTAATAAAAAAAAATGTTATTGATGCCATTCAGCTCTATGGACATTAGGTAACATGTGACTTGCAAACCAGTGCCACAGCTGGTATATTATTGGTTGCAAACTTAGGTTCTTAGCACTGAAATATTAACATAAAGCTCAGAGTAATAGCAATTGTTGCAACAAGAAATCATGGTATGTAGGAAGTGCATTATTGTTCTCAGGCATAGGAAGTATAATTGACATTATTATGGTGCATTGATGTGGCATGATATGTTATTTTCTCACTTTGAAGTAGGTTTGTGGATAAAATTTCAGAAAAAGAATATAGCTGTAAATGCACATCAAACAGTGGAAATTTTTAATTATGGACGCCCCTTATGAATTTACCGCAAGTTTGCCAGTTATTACTTGTTATACCCCACATTCATTTCCTTGTCAGAGTGAGAGGAAAGAGCACAGAATTTCTACTGTATCTGACCATAGCAAACCCATCAGTATAGCCATATTACTGAAAGAGCCAGGGAGTGGACCATGGAGTACCATCTAAAGTTATTATACTCATACTGTTGCGTTATGAAATTCTACCTTGAAATAAGGTTGTTTCCATTTTGTCCAACCATATGTGTACATGTATATCAATGGATCATCTTATATTACCACCCTCATATGATTTCCATACAGCTGAGAAGTGGTGGTTAGTACAGTGATTGTGTTTGTATAGCACGTATATTTTTTTTACAAAGAAGGTTTATGTAGCCAATTCCAGTCATGAAAGTTCCTAAATTTCTCCACAGACATGTTCTCAATAAACATGTTTTGCACACCCCATTTAAGTAATGGTTCTTGGGGATGGGGCCTAGAATTCATATAATGTGTAATACACTTCTGTATGTAATTATAAATTACCATCATGTAAGTGCGCATTTCTTAATAAAATGCTGCATACATTATTATGAAGTAAATATACATTTCAATTTATAGAAAATAATAAAGTAGATGAAGGTTTAGGAAAAGTTGGAAAATTACAGAAACTAAGTATACTGAAATTTTTATTCACATTTTGAACTTTTCAGTTAAAAAGTCTATATAGCAGTATAAAAGAATGGTTTAATTTTCCTGCTGAATTCTCTCACAGTTAAAATAGCCCCTCATGTGTAGGCTGGATGTATCATGTTTGGCATGTATAACATGGTTTATACTGGAATTTTGTTTTTTCATTTTATGATTTAATTAATAATATTCTCTGTTGCAACCCGTAGGCAGTGACCTACTGGTGAGCCTCACATCAACCTTTGACCAGAAGCTGAAATCTCTGCTGAGTGGAACAACAACAACAGCAGCAGCAGCAACAACAGTTGGAGCTGCCACTGATACAACTCCTGCTACAGAAACAAACATTTCACTAGAACACAGTAAGCTGCTACAGGAGAATGAAATTGAAGAAAATGGTGGCAATGACAAGTCATTACCTGTGAGTGCAGGAGGAAGCTCAGAGATGTCAAAAAATAATCTGTTGGAAACTTCAGCAATTATATGTACCAATGAAGAAAGCATATCAGTTCAGCCAACAGTGACATTCACACCCACCTACACAGCCCTCTTCCGAGACCCCAGCCTCCATCGCAGGAAGAGCACCCCTGATGATTATCAAGGACAGAAAGATGTAAGTTGGCTGAGTTTGCTGTAGACAAGTTCTGTAATTAGAATGTAGTACTCCATTTTGAACTGATCAATGTCTGCCATGTTCAAGGTTTATGTAACCTTGTGGTACCTACAGCATACTTTATCCCCAGTTTTTGGTTTATATAACAACGCTTTAAGTTTCTTAAATTATATAGCATCTAATGACACCATGATTAGAGATTAATCAGTTGGAAATGATTAGGGTGATTAATACCCAGTGAATTGGAAAGGATGTGGAAGGAAGTAGTTGTAAGATATGCTGTTCTGGCATTAGTCTAGAGGGTCAGAGGAAAATCATGAAAACCTTAGGCAGGATAGCTTGTCACTGGACCAAGATATTGTCCAGGATCTACAAAGCAGGAGCATTAATCGCTCAATTGTGATGCTTGATTACAGTCTGCTGGATTTAATTATACAGTAAATCATTCTGTAGCACAATCTAGGCCTGACATAGAGAGATACAGCTCGTTTTCAAATAAATAAAATATTAAAAATCTTTTAATGTTTAAAATAGATGGAAATTGGGTACTTGTGCCAGTTTGCTCTTCCCTCAAGTTTCCAGTTTTTCTTCTTTAATGTTTACCAGTTATTACAGTTTATGCTTCCTTTTGCATCAGTTTAGCAGTATGTTGAGAGCATTAAGTTGTAATCTTTCATCCAGTTGCAGTGAGCATGTAATGGTCAATTCAGGTGTGTGTGTGCAAAGGAGGGGGTTCTCCAGAAACTCACCATTCCACAAGATATCAAATTCTGTTGTTATGTGCTATCTACAGACAAGGTAGTGGTGCTATGATATGCTGTTTCCTCTAAATAATCAAAACAAAGCTGTCAGAAACCTGCCACAGAGCAAAATAATTTGAGTTGTACAATGCTAGATTAGAAGTTTCCAGTTATGGTGATAAAAATGTGGTGTGTTAGTCAGACCTTTCCCAGCCGTGGCATGTAATTTGTTAATTATATCTGTATTTTGTGCTCTGTACAAATGAATGATGCAATTAGGCATTAGGAGTGTGGAGGTATGAGGTATAGCCCCCCATTCTTGATGTTGGCACTAGATGGGGGTGAGTGGTTAGCTTCATGTCCTGGTTGCTTTACCCCCAGGGAAAGAGTCCCCAGTGCCCATTGGATAGGAGGCTGGGTGGGCCCCAGAGCTGGTCTTAACATTATGGATAAAAGAAAGATCTTGCCTCTGCTAGGAATTGAACCTTGGCCTTCCAGCCCCTAGCCTGTCACTGTACAGACTGAGATTGTTGTATTTCCATAATTGTAAATGCTAGTGCAGTGTAAGTATCATAATTACTTATCAATACTCACTTTTAAATTAGGAACACTTGCCAGCTTTCTGCTTCCTCCCAGTCTATAAACTATTACTATCATCACTGCACCATAAGTTTGGTGTGGCAGATGTGGTACATTTAACTTTAGGAATGTAATTACTTCAAACTGCTATACAGATGAGAAACTTAACAAGGTGCAATATGTGAACCATAAAATTAATATCTCATAGCTATTGTGATGTAGAAGGAAGAAGTGAATGATGATAAGAATGCCGCATATGTATTGCTTCTAGTAGCTTTACAGTTATGAATAATTACCATGGCTAAGTTATCTTTAACCTCATTGATCAGTCATATGGTATTTGTATTGTCAGTTGCAAGATGTGCCGAAGAAGAATGCAGCAATTTTAGATTGAAGCAGCTAATTATTAATGGCTGTGAAGTTGTGAAATTAATGAAAGATGATTATTTTTATTTCAGGATGTTATTGGAAAAGATGAAGAAGAACAAATGAAACCAGAGAAACAAGATAACCTAATTCAAGGAAGATCTAGGGAGAGTAGTTCTGTGTCTCCTAGGCAACATTGCCCTCATTTGGATCAGAAATCATTACATGGAGGCAAGAACTATGAAAAGGAGAATGGAAATGATGAAGAATGTGTTGAGAGTTTAAAGAATGTGACAAGGGGGGTAAACGCAATTCCAAGACCCAAAAGTATAGACTCTGTAACAAAATTAGAGAACACAGAATCGTCACATAGCACGAGGCTCAAACAGTCAGAATCCCTGACAAAATGTGAGAAAGAAGAAGGAAGTTCTGCAAGTGTAAAACTGAAACACTCAGAATCATTGACTAAGGCAGATAAACAAGAGACAGCAGCAGTAAATAGCCGGCTAAAACGTTCCGAATCTTTGACTAAAGCTGAAAGGTGTAGTGAATCAGCTTTGACGCACACAAAGCTGAAACGTTCCGAGTCACTCTCCAAAGCAGAAAAGACTGAGGCCTTGTCAAATACAAGACTTAGACGTTCTGAATCTCTTACAAAAGCTGAAAGATCTGAATCACCGTCAAACTCCAAGTTAAAACGTTCTGACTCATTGACAAAAACCGAGAAAACTGAATCCAATATTAGCAAGCGTAGACAGCAAGAGATGCTAATTTCTGGTTCATGTATTCGAAGTTCCAGTAGGGGAAATAAGGAAAAGGAAAATATAGCAACACTTCTGACAAAATTGAAACGCAAGAACGTGATGGCTGAATGTTCCATCAAGCGTCGTCACACTGTGGGAGGGACGAAAGACTTTGACAAACTCCATTGGCTGGATAATCGGTTGCAACATGAACAGCTTGCTGAGAATGAGGCAGCAAATGCGGTTGCCATGGCAACTATGAACAATAAAGAACGTCGATGTCTTCGAACAAGTTCGCCTGACCTCAGTTCATCCCGCCTGAATGGGGTTCCAGCACGGGATGGATTTTTGGTTGAGATTAGCTTGCTTGGCAGTGGGGGTATCATGGCAGAGCTTAGGCAGCACCTCTCACCAGCCACAGGACGTCCACACAGTCTCCCAGATCCAAATCTGGTCTCAAGAGCATTCAAAGTACCCCTAGAGTCACATGTTTAAAACATCGGTACATAGTTTGTGCTTGAGGTTATTATTTCCTTGTGAAGTTGAGTCAGGTGATGTTGAATCTGTCTCAACATTTTTCCCAAAATAACTATCTGGCATAAACATGAAGTGAAATCTACTTATGATAATAAATAAGTCTCTTGCATAATCAGTTTTTGAATCTACAGAACTGAGGTTTACTGCAGTAACAAACAACTGCAATGTGCATTTAACTGGACTAAGAGTGAAGATGTGAAGACATTTTGCAAATATTTGGAACAGAAACAGAAGGAATTGAGCATGTAGGCAGTACAGTATTTGAATAACAGTTTCAGTGTATAAACTGGCCTGACATCTCTGTAGCAAAAATTATTCTAAACAAAATTTGGATTTTTAATCTGAAATAAGAAACATCCGTAATGATGAAAATGATAATCTACTGGCAGTGTGTGTTAATGAGTCAGCACTGTGAATGTTAATATATTCAATGACTTGTCATTAATTGCCACTGTAGAGGGCTTGGTGTGTACATTTTAAAAATTCATATTGGGAAGTATAAATCCCAGTGGATTTTAATGTATTGAAAGTTATGCTTCTCTGTAAGAAGTTTGTAATGACCGTTGTATTTGATGACTTTTCTCATTGCATGCCGTCAAGATACCATCTATATCAAGTTAGGAACATTTCCAAGGCAGTTTCATATGTTATGAACACATTGCTTGCTGCCTTTCCTGCCTGTGTTAAGTACATCCTAAGCAGTATTTTACTGTAAACATTCTGGTTTTTCTTCTCATGAATTTTTCAGCAGTATGTATTGTTCTGGTGACATTAACAAGACCCTGACTTAATGACAATCGCAACACATAAACCATCTGACATTATTGAAATGTCATTGTGTAAGATTATTGCATTGTAATTAAGAAGAATTTGGATTTTTCAGGATTTACACACTTGTCAGGTTATTTCAATTAATCTTGGGAAACATCATGTGGAAAATAAGGATACAGTCAATTATACAAACTGGATGTATAGCCTAAATACTGCATATCAATACGTAGAACCATGAAATTGTAAGGATTAGACAAATATATAGATTGTTATTTTTTTTCTTCTGTTGCTTAAGGGAGAGCTTTAGTTGGAATTCCGTTATGCTCTTTACAGAGGCTGCTGAGTGTATGTTTAGTGATGATGTATGTCTTTGTGTCTCTTCTGTTTTATTTCCTGTGCAGAATGTGGGAAACTGTATTAATTGACAAAACCAAGTGTGGAGTGAGCCTGTGTGGGTGTGTATGTGTGTGCAGTTGCAGATTGGAAGTGTGAAGTCTATTCTTGAGAACTATTTCAGAGAGGAAGTGTCAGAGAGGTAGGTTCAGTTATTATTGAGATAATCTGAACAAAGCAATCTTTTTGTGATACAAATAATTTTTTTTCTTTACATAGATGTTTATATATATTACAATATTGTGAGGTGATAACAACATGGGGATTTTTTTATATGGGCCGTCCAATAAAAGGAAGAAAAATAAAAAGAAAAATTGTTATTTTTGTTTTCAAAATGCCTTATAGTCTGATAAAAACACCAACTGCAAGTGGGTGAACGAAAGCTTTTAAATGAAATATGTATTGTATATTTATGTTGCAATTTAGAGGCGAGCTTGTGCGAAGGAACAGGAAGCTCAGATCTTATGATTTTGTGTGATATTGTGATGACATTGTAGGGAGGGGAGAGAGATTTTGGAAGGGGGGTTCTCTAAACTTGAATGAAACAAGCTTGCTAGAGTCAGTTAATGTAAAATATGCACATTCATTTTATGAAGCATTGTACTTGTATGGTCTTTTTTCTTTGTAAATATATGAGCTCTGAATACATGTGAATGATTTGTTCATGTATCACTATTCCATTCCTTTGAAGAGTGAATTGTTCCTCATTCAGTAATAAAATGTCAGAAAAGAAAGGATTCAAGAGACATTCATTACTTTCTGGCTTAACATTTTTTTCAAACTCCTGCAGTATAGTTTTAGCATACGTCCCTTACTTTGAAACAAGAACTTCTGGGAGGAACTACTTGCCTACTTTCCTTGATGTGACACGGGCAGCACAGAAGACAGTGTATTGAACATTTCTTCAATTGTTGCGTGTATATTTGTTGCCACAGTAATGTTTTTATATACATAGAGTGGTGGGAGGGATTTATGAAATTCACTGTTGAGATAGGCTCATGTGCCATGATACACTTATGCAAGTTTCATAAAGATGGGTTCAGCCATTCAGAAATAGATAATGGGAGATACACGGACACACAGCATGGAGATTGCATAAACCTACTTTTATTTTTTTTCAAAATGAAGGAAGCAGGCTAAACTAAAAGGAGGCATATGAGACCACTTTGCCCTCTGCCCCACCCCAACCCTAATGCCTAAAAGTTGGTACAGTGGAATCAGAAGAAATGGCCTTTGCCAGGCAACAGCTCAGTAAATACAATCCTATGGCAATGAATACAGTTAACAAAAGGGAACTGTTAGACACAGTGTTTTCTGTGCATGCCATGCTGTATCAAATAACTCAGTATGTAGTAAAAGGAATGTAGACAATTGAATCTTCCCAGAATTTCATGCTTAAAGAAGTATACCCTTTTTCAGTGAACATCCTAGTAATGTCTGATTTAATCCTTGTAACCTATGTTCAGAAATGCATTGTTATGAAGTCTGTCTTCAGCCCCATGAGACTTTGCTCAGTTAAATATACAGGTTGGAGAACCTATAGGCCCATATGATGTGGCAGGCAGTCACAATTCTCTTGCATGTGAGTCAGCAGTACTTGTCTCTTCGCAATGTTTCTGTGCAACGTAGTTCGTTGTTCGTGTAAGTTTTGAGGTTTTCACGGTGATGACTATGAAGAAAGTCGTCTTCTGCGTTTAGGCGCCGTGTATTCTTCGTTTTGGCCGACGTTTCGGAGGAATGTAGTAGCAGTACGAGGAGCAGTAGTACTGCTCTCTGCATTCCAAGCCATTCACCTGCTCTGAAGATGGAGGCGATACGTTCCTCCAAAACGTCGGCCAAAACGAAGAATACACTGTGCCTAAACCCAGAAGACGACTTTCTTCATAGTTCATTGTTCCTTTATTAGACACTATTTCACTACATGTTTTGGCATAAATGGTCATCTTCAGGTGTACAGGTTGTAGTAGTTCAGGACTCTGCTGCTCTCTCTAATGTATTTTTTTCTTCCTCCTCTTTCATTTACTCTTCTTATGCTTTCATCTTCTTGTCTGTAGTGAACCTCTATCCAGTGCATAGGTACTTGTACATGCAAAAACAAATGCAAACTCTTTGTTTTTGCCAAATGAAAATATTTTGACTAAACACAGTCTGCCCACTGCTCCAACTCCTGGTGATCATAATGATCCATCATTGTGATCACCAGAAATATTGATCATCACCTCTACATACAAAATTTAAAATGAAATACATTTAATATATTGCATTTTTATTTACCATATATAAATGTCTAGCATTATGCTCTTATTGTTTCTGATTTATATGAACTATAGGTAAGGCCGTTTGTGTGTGTGTGTGTGTGTTCATGTGTGCATTCATTCATTCATTCATTTATTTTTCGTTCCATGGATCCACAATACAAGTGAGATATAGGACATGTCCATACAGTGCATGCATAAACATCTGAGCATTGTGCTTTCCAACAGAGGTTTACCTAATGCACCATTTTTAAGGAGCCTAAGCCCCCCTGTAGGTGAGGATTTACTGTATTTCTGGTGACAAAAATATACTTGAATAGTGAATCATAATGTATTGTAGACAGTGATAACAATAAGAACCAAGTTTCATACCCACACAACAAACAGCATAACTAGTCAAAAATAGAGTGAATGCCATTTCCCAGAATTAAAAAGGATTGAAGATAAGGCAGACCACACTTCGCCATCAAAAAGTGCTTCCCAACTGTGGTTCAGTCAGATGAATTTTGGCATGGGAGAAGTAAGGCATCTTCATTAACTCGATACATTTGGGAATATACCACCACTTTTGTTCGACAAAATTTGAAAAAGGGTGGTAGAATTATGTGTTTTGAACTGGCCCTTTACAAGGCCTGTGTCTGCACAGAACTGGATCCCATAAACTTCGTGTGCGTATACAGACACCAGCATCATGGAATCATTTTTTGTGAATGTATTTATTTACGTTGTATTTGAGGTTCTAATAGCAGTGACTATTAAGAATTCTATCTTCTTCCGGGATATAACGCCTATTCAATCCAGTGAATATCCACCTACGTTTCAGAGAAGCACCTCCATCTTCAAGCATGAACCATCTACGTCCTCTCGAACACTAGGATCGTGGGTTTGAATCCCACTCAAGGCATGGATGTCTGTATGCGTTTATTCTGTGTATAGGTAGGGGCATTGTGACAGGCTGGTCCCCTGTCAAAGGAGTCCTATAGCTCTCCATCTTCAGGGCTGAAGAGTAAGCCAGCATGAAACACACAGAAGGTTGGACACTTCTATTTATTTATGCTTCATTTAATGACATCAATAGTTAGACTATGCTCATAGAAACCTGCTAATGATACCTATCCGAGCTATTAGTCCAAGCCTATTTCTTTACGATCCATTTCAATATTTTCGTAGCATATTTGCATATCTAATCCTCGGAACCATAAATTTACTATGCCAATGACAAGTGTTTTCGATACTTGTTTTGCAGCAGGAAGCAGGCCTCGTGATGGTGGGCAGCTAATTAAATATTTTCTTAATGTATCAGAAATGCGCACCTGTACTAACTGTTTGTTTGTCGTAGGATGATGTTGAATGCAGAATGGTACTGAAAACGGGAGAACACTGCGCTCTAGGGCTATTAGTTATTAATTTTATTGCCAACCTTATATTAACGCAACAAGAACCTACATTTTGATGTAGCCCATTGCCTCCAGTCCACAACTACCGAAGCTAGGCGACACTTCATTAAGCGGTTGCTAGTGTATTTAAGGATGTTATTAGCTACTGTCTACGGGCTGGATGGCTGAAGAGTATGAGTTCGAGTCTCGGTAGTGTAAAGATTTGTTTCCTCTCCAAGTCGTCCATACCGGCTCTGGGGCTCACCCAGCCCCCTATCAAATGGGTACCGGGGTCTCTTTACCCGGAGGTAAAGGGGCTTAGGCGTGAAGCTAACGACTCACCTCTTTCTAATGCCGAAGTCAATAATATTGGAACTGTACTTCCATTCCCCCAGACGTCTTCATGGCGTAATCATAGGGACAAATTAGATTACTTTATACAGATATAGATGTTGTTTAGGGTCGAATATGATGAAGATTGCAGAAGTCAGGTTGGTAGATTTTGAGGTATCTGTTGTGGCTTTTTGAAAGTACTATCACAGGATTTCCTGGCGAACTGAGGGAAGTAGCGAAGGCCATTGGCCAAAACAGTCTGCGCCAGTATTTGAACGTGTAGGCCTGTGTTCTGATTTTTTCTTTCGTGGTGTAGAGTGAGGCTGAGTCATGTACGCCGGCCACTAATTGGCCTATTGTACCAGTCCCGGTTGATAGATGAGTAAGGAGCATTTTGTGGAATGAGAATTGGCAGGGGAAACTTACCCCAAATTCCACTTTGTCCGCCACAAATCCCAGAGAACCTTGAGGTGGGCTCAGGTGCCGTGATATATCCAGGCAATACGTTTGGAAGAGTGAGGATAGCGTACGGGAACAACTGGAAGGGAGGGTAGAACGAGTGGGGGAGGATCCGTAAGAATTCTGTGCTAAGCTCCAATGCAGTTTAACAAGAAATGTCACTTCCCACCTTTAAATTGAAGCGCAAAATATTCTGTGTAACCTACGCAGCTGAAAAAGTGTCCTTGAATGACCTAAGAATCGCACAATTAGATAGGTATTGTAAGGAATGCTTCATCTCAGAAATATAAAGCACTCAGTGATTAAATTTGGTTGATGGCGTTCTAGAAGAAGTAATGGCGTAGAAAAATATTCCTCGAAAACATTAGAGTCAGTATTTCCAGCAGTTCAGTCCCTGTACTGTTCACAAATAATGCGCAGTGAAATGTGGTTAAACTGCAATGATTTTATTTATTTCAGAGAAATAAGAGACCGTTCTGTAAGTTTAATTGCAGTTGAAATGGAATTTAGTTCGTTATTTTGTAAACATTTCAGTTTTATGCTCCTCAGTGATCTCGAATTGTTCTTGAATGTAATAGCAACCGAAATAAAGTTTAATTGGTTCTCCATAATTCCTCTTATTTATTTGTTTCACAGTAATGAGGATTTTTTTTTTCATTAAATTGCAGTAGAAAAGGAAATGTCATTTAGTTTGTTCTTCACAAGCGCTTTTGTGTGGATTATTATTTAATTCATAATTTGGCCGTGCCATAGCTCAAGCGGTTAGTCGCTGCCTTCCAACCGCGGCGGCCCGGGTTCGGTCCCGGGTCTGGTCAAGTGGGATTTCTGGTGGACAAGTGTCGCTGGGATGGGTTTTCTCCGAGTATTTCGGTTTCCCTTGCTAATCTTCATTCCACCAAATTCTTCATCATCATAATCACCCGGGGCAGGCTACAATAGGCCAATCAGTGGCCACCGTGCCGAGTGGACCCAGCTGGACTCCACCCCCTCTAAACGAATTAAAAAAAAAAATACGCCCTCATTGCGTAGTACGTGACCAGGTAAGAACAGGGACAAATTTACCTTTTTTAGCTGCACTATTCATGTATGTTGGATTACACTTGCCCACTTGTAATTACTTTTTATTAATACGCAGAAGTTGTTTGGAATTGCAATGTATGACTGGACTGTCACTGACATGCGAAATCTGAGGTTCTTACAGCAGTAACTATGAAGCACACTGTCTGGGATG